TTTGCTGCCTTGATTAAAGCCAAAATCTTTTGTTTTACTTGCGCTGCAAAGAACCGAATTATCTCACTTCGATTATTTGCCTAGATAATGGTTATGCATAGCTTGTTAATGGATTATTTCAGAGCCGTGGCTTCAACTATCAGTATTAACTTTACCATTTTAAGGAATTGCTATTGCTGAGCATGAACAGGATATCTGTGTTCCGATGCAGTGCTGTTTTGGGTAGCAAGTACTTTTACAACTTCAGTGGCTCTTTCCAAAATATGTTGCCAGTGCTGCATCTCAGATGAGATTACTTTGTGCTTCTGCTATCAAGGCTTACATTTGTCTTATCAAGCACTTTCAAGATTCCAGATTATATGGTACCTCTTGTCGTTGAGTTGCCCATGCAAGCTGATTTTTTGCTCCAGATGAACCAAATTCTGTAGATAATTAAAAAAATTAAAAGAATATGCAAAAGCAACCAGAACTGTACATTTGTATTATTATTTGTATTATGATAATCATGTAAGTTTTGTTTTCATTCCCTTTCCTAATGATTGCCAAAATAAAATCCTCATTTTTCACAACTGTTTCACACTAGTCAATGTCTTCACTGAGCTATTCACCATGACCCCAAGATAACTTTCCTGGATCATTCACTGCCAGATCAGACCCCATCACTATATAATGTGAATTTCTTTTTTGCTCCAATATGCATCACTTTACACATGTGTACATTGAAGCACATTTGGAATTTTATTGCTCATTCACCCAGTTTGGAGAGATTGTTTTGCAGGTCTTCAGAATCCTTTTGTTCTTCCCTTTTTCTTTCTTTTTAGCCCCCTGAATTATATGATGTCATCAGAAAACTTGGCTACTCTATTTCTGAACAAGTTAAAAAGCACCAGTTCCAATACATGTCCTTGAGTAGTGATGGGTGATTCTGCCAATTCTGGTTTTTCTCAATTTCTCATTTTTCCAATCAGGTTCAGTTCTCCACATTTCAGTTCGCAAGCATTTTGTTGGGGTTTTTTTTAAAAAAAAAACCATGAAAATTTATCAGCAATTTAGTGCAAATTAATCCAAATATACACATTTCTCTATGTAGTTTTCCCTAACATACGCATTTTTGCAGAGCAGTTTCCCTTAATATAAAGTATTTTTATATGTTTATCATCACTTACGCATTTTATACAGACTGCCCCAAACCTTCTATCAATTTAAAGGTAAAGGTAAAGGGACCCCTGACCATTAGGTCCAGTCGTGGCCGACTCTGGGGTTGCGGCGCTCATCTCGCTTTATTGGCCAAGGGAGCCGGCATACAGCTTCCGGGTCATGTGGCCAGCATGACTAAGCCGCTTCTGGCAAACCAGAGCAGCGCACAGAAACACCGTTTCCCTTCCCGCCAGAGCGGTACCTATTTATCTACTTGCACTTTGACGTGATTTCAAACTGCTAGGTTGGCAGGAGCAGGGACCGAGCAACGGGAGCTCACCCCGTCGCGGGGATTCGAACCGCCGATCTTCTGATTGGCAAGTCCTAGGCTCTGTGGTTTAACCCACAGCGCCACCCGCATCCCTCCATCAATGTGGTTGGCTTTAAAAGAAGATTAGATAAATTCATGGAGGACATGATTGCCGGGGGCTGCTACCCACGATGGCTGTGCTCAGCCTCCACATTTGACACCTGAGGCAAACCACATAATGGCGTCCCCTGCCAGGGAAGAAGAGGTGAGTGAAGATCCACATCAGGAACAAGGAGGGAGAACAAAGATCTACATCAGGATCTGTTGTTTTGGTGGTTGCTGCCGCCTGAGGCGCTCGCCTCCCCTTGCCTCATGCCCCTGGGAGGCAGTATCCTTCTGGATACCAGTTGCTGGAAATCACAGAAATGCTCTTGTGCTCGGGTGCTGCTTGATGCTTGGCATCTACCTTCTAGCCTTTTTAAAAAGTCCCGTAAGGTAATAATTATGCAAATCATCCTATGGTAACACCTAGGCTTAAGTACATGACAAGTAAATCCCTGCCAGTAATCTAGGGAGGAGGCGGAGGTAGCAATTAGACAAGCAGGTGAAACTGTATTGTAGAACTGGAGGAGGAACGGCGCTCTAATGCACAGCTTTCTAAGCAGTACAACTCCTCTGCTATAATCCACCTGAGGAACTGAACCTCATTCTCCTGTAGCCCAGTTCAATGCAGGCTTACTCAGAAATAAGTCTTCTTTTTTTCTTCAATGGGACAATTCACTTCAGCTCATAAGTATGTGTTCAATTGCAGCAATCTGTTTAAGACACTTGTTATTCTAGATCAGAAGTCCAATGCTTGGTTTCCCGCAGCAATCAGGCATGAAGGCAACAACCAGTCCCTTCATCTCATGTTCAGCAATATGCTCCAAGGGGCTTCAAATCATGTGTGATAAAGTTGTCCTATTGTGAATGCTTGTTGGGTCAGAAGCCTTCAGCAGATGTCAGCAGTTGTCGAGCAGTTAATAACCTGGGACCTGGGATGGTGCAGCTTTTCATTTTTCTGGAAGCTGTGTGTAGACTATTTTGTAGAAATCAAATCAGATTATTATTTTTTTTGCTGGTAGCAGCCAATTTAAAGATTACACATCATTAGTGTTATGCCAAGCTGAAAGGGTTGCGAGTTGTCATGGGGGACCAATAACAGCCCCTACCCACCAAAAAACTCTTTGAGAAGAACTTGTTACCAAGGTATCTTTGTCATTTTGTGTGAGGTTGTGTGATGCACACATGGCTTGGAGTCGTCTCTTCCTCATGGACAGTGTGCACATTGAACAAGCATCTAGTATTTTGTTTTCTCTTTTGGCATTGTTTGTATGAAGAGCATTTGTATGCTTCTGATGAAAGATTAATTACAAAAAAGTACACTGCATAGACAGGTGCATGTTGCATATTTCCTAACATTAATGCTACTCTCATATTCAACTCAAGATTCTGTATTCCACTGATGACTGGGTATGAGATGGCACAGGCTGCACTGTGAGGTGGAAAGGAGGCATGCAGAACAGCCCCTCATAACTATCACCATACAGTGGTACCTCAGGATGCGAATGGGATCCGTTCCGGAGCCCCGTTCGCATCCTGAAGTGAATGTAACAAGCAACGGCGCGTCTGCGCGGGCGTGGGTCACGTTTTGCCGCTTCCGTGTATGCGTGTGATGTCATTTTGAGTGTCTGTGCACGCGCAAGCGGCGAAACCCGGAAGTAACGCGCTCCGTTACTTCCGGGTTGCCGCGGAGCGCAACTCAAACGCGCTCAAACCAAAGCACGTTCAACCCGAGGTATGCCTGTAATGCACTTTTTAAACATACTGCAATTGTTTCTTATTTTTTGCATTTAACTGTTCTGTAATGCAAGGCTGGCTTAAGGGTGGTATATAAATATTTTAAATATATAAATAAATTATTCAAAACCATAGGCTAAGGCCATTTTGCAACCTGTGCCTATGCATGCTTACTCAGAAGTAAGCTGCACTTACATCAATGGGACTTGCTCCCAAATAAATGGGCATAGGACATTTGGAGATGTCCACCCAGTATTTGAAGATACTTGACCAGTCATGTTAGGAGGCAATCATCTCTGATGGGTCAACTGAGCACTATTGCAATTCATGGTTATTTTCCTGTTCATTGTCAACTAATTGTACCAAATCTCAAGTCAGGTTGGCCACTCAGAACCCGTGATGTTCCCATGTGTCTGCTTTCTCCTTCCTTTTCACCAAAGCAGCTCTGGTTCCTTCTCACTTCCACTAACATTTTTTTAAGGGGAAGAGCCTTTTCAGTGGTGGCTCCTTGCATGCACAAGTTCCTCTCTTCTACTGAACTGCATCTGGCTCCAGTTTAGGTAGCTGGCAAAGAAACACATTTTTTCTGCGGGTATTTGGAAGAGAGACCTGATCAGATGAGAGGGTGTCAGACTAGGACCTAGGAGACCAAGATTCAAATTCCCACTCAGCCATGAAGGTCACTGGGTGACCTCGGGCCAGTCACAGCCTCTCAGCCTAACCCACCTTAGAAGGCTGTTGTGGTAATTAAATGAGAGGATGAACTACATACACCACCTTCAGCACTTTGGAGAAAAAAGGTGGGCTTTACAAATGCAATCAATCAATCAATCAATCAATCGGCTACTACTGCAGCTCTTAATAAATGGCCATTCCGTGCATTTTTATGAGTTGTGAATTTTTAAAGAATGCATTATTTTATAACCTTCTGTATTCTTTTCATCTTACTTCTCACTTTGTTGTAAATCGCCTTGTTGTCACTTTTCCCCCCAGAAGGGGCGGGCATGATGAATTGTCTAAAACTCTAAATAAATAAGTAAATAATCTACATTCAGCGAGCTAACAGTTCAAACAGAAGCCCTGGGAAGGCGTGTGTCGACAGTAAAGCCGACGGTGCGTGTCCCCACAATTCAGCAACCCACCAGCAAGTGTACACATGAACGAGCTGCATATCCCACGCTCCTGAACTTAAGATGCTTTACCAAGCTCTACCGGTAAAGCCAGGACACAACAACTTATCACACACATACACGAAAACTTCACACGCACAAAAACACCGTGTAAACAACAAATCCACACTTCACCTCCCTCGTCTCTATCTCTCTGCAAGCCTTTTCGTTACTTCCCTTTAGTTCGTTCTGGGCTGATACGGATGCGCGTGTGCTTGTGTCGTGTACTGATATAAAGCGACAACAAATTGCAATCCGTGATAATGAGGATAACAATAATAATAATAACAGCGCGGCTAGCGGCGCCTCCTCGCCCGGCTCCAGCACTAGGGGCTCACGCGCGCTCGCCCGGCTCCATTGCGCCGGAGGGCACCGCTCTCGCTCTCTATCCGTGTCGACCTCTGGGCCCTCCCCTTAGACACCCCACATCCAGAGGCACTTTCCCTCTCTCTCTCACCCCAAATCCTCCTCCTCCCTCTCGCGATCCCATTCCCCGGCCCTCCTCCTGGCGCCCCCTCCGCGCCCCGTGCGCCACACACGGGTACCTGCGTCGCGCCCAAGCGGGGCGAAGAAGAAACTTTTCCCTCCTGCCGGTTCAAACGTGCTGCCGTAAAGCGGCCGTCTCCCCTGGCAACAAGGTTCCGGCGGCCGAGCACTAGGTGTAGGAAGGTGATGTAAAAAAGTAAAAAAAAAAAAAGGACATATACACACACGCGCGCACACACATACACAGACACACACATACACCCAACCACCCAGTGTCGTAAACCAGGTCCGGGCGGGGGTTGAGGGGGGGGGGAGAGCGGCGAGGGGGAGGGGGGAAGGGAGGGGGGAGGAGGTGACTGGAGCATTTAGACACAAGCGAGAGGATCATGGCGGATGGCCCCAGGTGTAAGCGCAGGAAGCAGGCGAACCCGAGGCGCAATAACGGTCAGTCAGCTCCGCCGGGCAACGGCCCGCGCCGCGCCGGGGACGCTCAGGGGGAACCGGGCCGGGGGTCGGGCGGAGTAAAACGGGGGGGGGGAGGAAGAAGAAGAAGAAAGAAGACAGACAGAAGCAGATCCGAGAAGTAGAAAGTAATTTCCCGGGCGCTCCTCGCCGGGAGCCCGGCTCGCCCTGCACCGTTAGATCCGCTACCTGCCTGCCTGCCTCCCTCCCCGCCTCGCGCTCTCCCTCCCCGCCGCCGGGCTGCCTCCTTCTCCGCCTAGCGGTGCCTCCTCCACTCGAGCCTCCTTCGCCGGCGAGGATCAGCCCTGCCCGGGGACCGTTACACGCCGCCCGCTGCCTCCTCTTTCTCTTCCCCCGTGTCCCACCCTTCATTTTGCCCGGCCGCCGCCCGTCCCCGGCTTCTTTCCCTCAGGAGCGAGAGGGCGAAGCGGAGCCGGGGGGGGCGTCTTTCTTTCTTATTTTCGTAGTCACTCCGGTCCCTTCTCTTTGGGGGGGGGAGAGAGAGGAAGGCCGCGCCTTCGACCTTATAACGGGCCCCCCCTCACCTCAACTTGGAAACTTATTACCTGAGCTGAGGCGGGTCTCGCCGGCCTCCGAGGAGAAGGGGCGCCCCCTCCGACTCCGCTCCCCAAACTTTTTGTTTCGGGGGGGGACTTTGCTATTGCGGAGGGAGGGGGTTCACTTCCCCCCTCTCTCTCCTCCCCTCGCGCTGGGGAAAGTCCCCGAGGGAAGCGCGGCGCTTTCCCCCCCGCAGCCTCCCACCTCCAGTCTTCGCGATCCCCCCATAGTTTGTTGTTGTTTTGGGATGGTGGGGGGTGGGTGGTGCGCTAAGGCTCATACTTTGGAGGTGGGGGGGGAGGAGAGAGATCCAGAGGAAACTGCGTGTAACTCCCGAACTACCTGCATGCCAGACACGCAACAAAAACGTCGAGGGCAGGATGACTGTAATGGGGACTTCGTTCTCTGGCGTGTGGCGTGTTTTGGCCCCGGCTGGGGAAGAAGCGGGGGGGAAAGCGGGAGGCGAGGGGAAGCACTGTTGCTTGCTGCAGTGTGTATTGATTTTCTTTTCCCCCCTTTTTTTACAAGGGAAACGCACCACATGCGCACCCCTGAGATTGCCCTGGAAAGGGACCCCCTCCTTTTCTCTGCCCCTCCTCCCCTGCCTTCTATGTATTGCTCCCCCCTCTTCTCTCCCCCCCCCGCTACTTTCGCCTCCGCCTCTTTTAGTGCCTGCAGTGCATGTTGATTTATCTCCGTAGCCATTGAACATATTGTTTCTCCTCCCACACCCCCGCCAACCTCCAGATCTTGGCAGAAGTGTTGGAAGTGTTTCTGTGAGGTTGGGTGGGTGTTTTTTTCCCCCTTCTCCCCTCCTTTATCAACGTGATTGGGGTGAAGGGGGGGGAGAGAAAGACAGAGCAAAAGGAAGGCTTTCTTTCTGTGTGGGTTGGGGAGGGGACGTGAATCAGCCAAGTTTCTCTTTCTCGCCCTCTTCTTGGATTTCGAGGTACCTGTTTGTATCATAATCATAATAATGGGTGGTAACGGTTTGTCCGCTGCGCCCCCTCCCCGCCTTTCTTCGCTGGCTAGGAACAACTGCTACAGCCTATATAAGGAATGACGCTTACTTTTCAGATTTAAGGGCTGTCTCCCCCCCCCCTTTTTTATGCATACGTATTACTTTGAAATGAGTTGAAACCTGCGTTGAAAAGTGGGGGAATAAATACTCAAAACTTATGTTGTTGGATTTTTCTTCTTATGTATTCTATTAAAAAATAATAATAACGGGAAAACTGATGACTTCTTAGGATGTAAAACGGGAGGTTTTGTAACCTTTCTTGGCAGTTTTTTTTTTAAGCTTTCGTTTGGCATTTCCTGTATACGGTTATGGATTGGAAGGGTTCTAGTGGTTGGTCCGAGATCATGACGTTTTGGACAGGATTTTTTTTTTTTTAATATCTCCGAGATGGAATTATGGTTTCCCCGGGTGAGAGGGCGCTACGACTTCTGATACTTAACGTGAAACACGCACATAAACATTGGCCTTCTAATCGACTAACTAGTTGATCGGGTGGTTCTGAACTAGTAGCTCCCTGCTCTGTATGGGGTGGGTTTATTTATAGCAAGTATCAGGATATATACGGGATATTGTAATGCTAATTTCCTGTTTTAGAGCACGCATTTGTGTGGTCTGTTTAATGTTGAGGCAGTATTAAAGGTAAGTTTGCAAAGTGCTCCTCTCTCCTTACCTTATTTAAAATGTTAATGATAGAGAAAGGGGGCTTTTCTTGTTGCTGACGACATGTGTGTGACATGGGAGTCTGAACCACCCAGTCTCCGGGCAGGAGCTGTAAACATGTTTACCTGAGGAAGGAAGAAAATGGATTTTCTCTTAAAGATACGCTTAATTGGAATATTATACTTGTAAAGCATATTAGTAGATGCCTTGAGAGACTGCCTGAAAACCTTCCTTTTGAAATCAACCAGGGAAGAGGGGGAAGAGGGATTTTGACGGCTGCAGCAAATGGCAACTTGTGCAGGTAGGGAAAAAATGGTGTGTGAGGTTTCTCTAGCATGCATGTCAGCCCTTCTGACTGCTGCTCTTGTTCTCAAGGGAGATATTTATTTACCATGCTTGCTGTCAGTGTTGTTCCTTTGTGCTTAATATTAGAAAAATAGATTTGAGGCTGTTTAGCACAAACCATTTCGTCTGCAGCATGCATGACTCGTAGAAAACAAAAGGTGCGTGGGATATAATGCTATTCCAGGTATCTTTTCATTTTTCATTATTTCCGTTAAAATCGTCACCCCAGTGTTTTCAGGTTCTGGAGGAAAGCCTTTGATTTATTATTGAGTGGTTCTGATTATACTATAATCTTTTAACACATAAAGAATAACTTGAACTGCTCTACATTAACCATCACTGGGTAGGCGAGATAATAGATGCCGGATAATAGAGATTTCTCAGCAGTAGGTTCCTGTTTGACTTGCAAATGTTTACCGATCAGAATTGCCAGGGAAGGTTAACCCTTAAACCTTTCCCACAAATGGACAATTGAAATTATTTCTATATCAAATCTCTTCCATGAAGATGATGTTGATTTCATGCCTTTCAAAGATAGGTACCATGTCTTCCTGCTAATCCTGTGTAATATTTTTCCTGTCTCCAGTCTTAAGGAGGACAGACTATGATAAACTGATTTCCAGCAATGTGGTTTTTACTTAGCTGTAACACCAAATTAAGTACCGCTGCTGTCTTAATGGAGTCGTGTACACCTTTTAAAAATGGTATAATTTTTTTAAAGGACTTACTTTTTTATTCCACTGCCTTTGGCTCTTATTAAACTATACATTGATCCAACTACCTTTTCTTTTCTCCCTCCCCCCTTAACAGTATAAAGGTGTATTATCTTTGTGCGCCAATGTAGGTATATCTGAGGTATGTGCCATTTTTAATCTCTAAATGTAATCACTGCACTGCCCTCTCATTTGACAGTTTCAGTATTTGAATTCCAAGATGTATGGACTTAAACATGAATATTTGGCGCTAGAAATCTGAACTTGAGTCAGAAAATCTTCTCAAACGGAACAGCTTTTTTTTTCTTTCTCCGGAGCTGTCATGTCTAGTCTAGGCAAATACAGAAATGTCATCTGAGCTAATACAAATAAATCTATTAATTTCATATAAAAGTGTCCTGAACTATTTAGTGGTCTGTCGGTATTACATTGTATAGTTTTGCTTCTGCTCTCTGTTGTGTTCTTGAAGTTTGCAAATAAAGAGATCTATGCAAATCACTTCATTAATCTAAAATGGCTACTGGTTGTTACATTTAAATGGTACAACTTACTTTGGACTGATTATAGTACTTGCTTATTTCAGGTATTTATTTCTCAGCTTTCTATGTCTTAGGTCCTCAAGGTGGATTTAATACATGTTTGAATAAAGTTGTTTACTGTGTCAGTAGGACTGGGCTGTCCTAAGAACTGCCTGACGTCTACTCAGGTTCTGGCTGCCTTGGCCTTAAAGGTGAGGCAAAGAGCAATCAATTTCCAGATGAACCTACCTCCCCAACCAAATCTAGGAGCATATAATGTAACAACGGCTAGGTCAATTGTGGTTTGCCACAGAGTTCTTCATGGCCATGACTGGCTTTGTCTGAATATATATACCTCTTATTTGTAACATTCCTAAATACTTTCCCACAATACCAGGTATGTAATATGGTCCTTCTGGATTGTTCAAAGTACTTTATTTCCATTCTCTCATCTATAACACCTGTGTAAGATACTATCTCCATTTTACAAGTTGGGTTGGGGCTGAGAATAACAGCTCAGATGTTATGTTTCAGGGGGGGGAAACATTAAGGAGTGAGACATGGAAGTGTATAAAGATATACCTGGTGAGGAGAAGATAAGTTTTTCTCAATGCCTCGTAATATTAGAATCTAGAATCGTCCAGTGAAGCTGAATGGTGGGAGATTCAGTTTAAATGAAAAGGATGTACCAGTTCAACACAACACATACAGTGGAACCTCTACTTACGACCGTAATCTGTTCCGGAGGTCCGGTCATAACTAGAAACATACATAAGTAGAGGCGCACTTTTCCATAGAAAGTAATGGAAAAGTGAATTGATCCGTTCTAGATGATGAAAAAGACCCCCTAAAACAGCAATTTAACACGGATTTTACTGTCTAACGAGACCATAGATCCATAAAATGAAGGCAATAATCAATGTAGGTAAAGGTAAAGGGACCCCTGACCATTAGGTCCAGTCATGACCGACTCTGGGGTTGCAGCGTTCATCTCGCTTTATTGGCCGAGGGAGTACGGCGTACGGTCATGTGGGCAGCATGACTAAGCTGCTTCTGGCGAACCAGAGCAGTGCACGGAAATGCCGTTTATCTTCCCGCCAGAGTGGTACCTGTTTATCTACTTGCACTTTGATGTGCTTTCGAACTGCTAGGTTGGCAGGAGCAGGG